TCTAGGAAGAACGTAAGAATTAAAAGATTAAATATTGTAATTAATATAAATTTTGACAAACCAATAATTCAATAGACCATCGATGGCACATGCTGTAAATTTTTTTTAGCACGAATGCCATTACAAAAGTTGTACGTTGATATCAAAATAGAAAAATAAATATAGAAAACAATTTTATTTTTCCGGAATACCAATCTCACTTAAATATTTATTCTCACATACACACAATATATTTTACCTTATTATACATTTTGTTTCTTTTTTGTTTCTTTTTTTTTTGTAATAATATTATGTACAATACTACTAAACATTCAATTTAAATTCAACGAATGAAATCGGATGGATGAACGTGGTTAAAAAAAAAAAGGCAATGTCATAGGGGAAAAATAAATTCAAGGTTGAAACTTTCAAATAAATTGAACATTATTTTCTAAAATCGATTACTTCAGATAAATTTCTTATGCATGGTATATAAATTTTAAGAATAATAATACTACCCTACTTTTTGCTCCTTATAAAACATGTATGTGTATGTATATATATAAATATAAAAATGTTAGTATATTATATTCTTTTGGTGTCCTTGCTTATATATTTTATAATAAAATTTGTATCATTTATGTGTATGTATAACTAGAAATAGGATAAAGTGTACATACGCAAAAACGTACGAAAGATTTTCTTAGAATCACTTTGGAAACAAAAAGTTATAAATTGTTGTCAATTTATAAAATATTTTGTTCGTTGCTTTTTTTTTTTTTGCTTTATTTTTATTTCCCTTTTTTTGCTGTATTATTTTTTAGTATTCGTTGTCGTTTTTATTTTCACCCCGTGAGAAAAATCGCTTAAAGTTATTTTCTATAACTGATATTATTCTTATAAGAGAAAGTTTATAAAAGTTTTTGTCGTTTATATAACATTTCTGTACTGAGAAATAAAAAGATGTTCGATCCACACTACTATACATTTAATTCATAACACACCCGAGATGATAATAAATTATATTTTTAAATTTTATTAAAATTTGCATACTTTTAGGGGTATAATGGTATATTTTTATTATTTGCGATTAGAGCTGTGCTAGAATTTTTTTTTTTTTAAATAATATTAGAATATTAATTTAAATTATAATTTTAGTTACGTTTAAAATATTTTACGAATACTCGTATATTTAAGAAAAATGGCTACAAATTATAAGATAAAATTGTCAAAATTTTTGTTAATAAATACTTTTTGGATCACTTAACTCTAGAGAGTCAAGATATTATTCTTTTGATTTTGTTAAAAATATTTCTGCGCGAAGCATTGAACTCGAACTTAGATCTGTTTAAATTGCAATTAAGGTTTCTTGATTTGTTGGCACAAATTAGAGCGAAACAATTATCATTACTACTTCTTGCTCTCTAACAAAAACAATAGATTTTAGATGAGCCAATCTATTGCAATTAAAAACTGACAGAGACCTGAAATGAGATGAATTATTTATCATTGAATTTGATTCGAAAAATTAAATTTTTCTATATAATTGAGGAAAACATAATTTTTTTCATGATAATTTTTTAACCAAAATTTTGTTCAAGTTGCACAAACTTTCAGTATAATATTCTTTATTTGAATATGATTGTGATATAAGTTTACATTGTAGTATATGAAGTATGTATGATAAAATTTATTCTACTTATACTATCTCAATATTTTTCCAGTTAAATTTAGTAATCATAATAATATAATAGTAACTGAGTCATATAATATGCTCTATTTGATATTCACACATATATTATTACAATATTATTATAATAATATTATATGTATATGTACATATCGTAAATGGTGTCGATATTAAATTTTTGAACTGACACTTATTTATTTTCTTAACTAGATAATGATAATAAAAATATTTAATAAGAAAAATTTACGATAATAATATTATAGAGTTAACTACGATTTTGTTTATTTAAAGTCATATTTGTACATAAAGTTTTTTTTTCGCAAAATATAGTAGAATGATATAGCAAGGGATGACTCTATTTTGTAATTGGATGACTTCTAGTGTAATAAAATTATTTTATGTTATTTTTATAATACGAGTATTATTTAATAATTTTGTATTATTCAAATGTTTTATGATATTTATAATAAAATATTTAGTTTTTATAAAACTAACCACATATCGACTTTCAGTTGGACCTTATAAATACATATATTATTATTATTCTGCAGTGTGGTCAATTTTAGCATTCTTGACTAGAATAGGTGCTATCTTAGCCATAATTTCAAATGCTCAGTTATTATCATACCTAAAATGAAATAGAAAAGAAAAATAAAATTAAAGATTGACAAAGCCATTCTTACTATAATTTTGAAAGTAATTAATTCTTTTCGTCTTTATTTCATTCGAAATAAACTTAATTTAATTCCTGAAAAATTAATTCGATAGTAATAAAAGGACTCGGTCGCTATTTTGATTTGGTCTCTCAGATAGGCGTCCCCACGGAGCACTGTCTATTATGGAATATGACTAAAATATCATGAATTTTTCGAATTTCTGTCGAGGCTGTCAGGATATTGATGTGGTAAAGGATGTGGATCAAGTTCTACGCAAGTGTTTTATAATCGGCGGACCGAAACGCATACTGATGGACTCGAAGAATTGTCGGCTGGCTTCAGTTATCTGCCGGGTTTTTCATGACTCTGGCAGAGGCTCTTTGTCTGCTCCAATATTATTCTTTGGAGTGAAGAAGTTTTCGATTTTAAAGAATGACAATGGGTGTCCTTTTTAGTTCTATAAAGGTACCATACGATACATCGCTAATTAACTAACTAGCTATTTCAATATAAAAAAAAACATATTCAAATGAGTTGAATGATAAGCTTAAAATTGATTAATCAGACATAAAAGAGAAAAATTAAGAAAGCTTTATTAATTATTTTATAAAATAATTTTAACCATACATTAAGATTAATTTCATTCTTACACAAAATTATAAAGCCAATAACATTATATCTGAAATCCACATTATATATATACATATATTTTATATTCCTGTACAAAATTAACTTCATATTGTAAATTTATTCACCTTTATTATGATTTAATGCAACATTGCATTTAATTAGTCAGTAATAGTAATTTATTGCGGAAATTAAAATTGAAACAGTAAACACATAGATATTATTATTCTATATAATGTGTTATACACTTAAATATTAACGAATTATACGTATTCAATCGAAAGCTGTAGATATAAATGTAATAATTATAGATATAATAATATTAATATATAAGGCTATTATAATCCGCAACAGCTTTATGAAAATTTATGATTAGGATTTTGTTTGATAAATTTAATATATTAAAATCTACAGTCAGAGGAAAAATGGTTCAACTCAAAAACTTTAATTTTTAATGAATAAATTTTTCAAATTAAAATTTTAAAACAGAATTTAATTGGAATATTTTACATATATTTTAAGGATAAGTAAAATGTGTAAAATTTAGGTATGTATGTTCTGATTTCGTGAAAATGTATATTTAATTTAAAAGCACAAAGTGCTAAACTTAAAAATTTTAACATTTTTGAATTAATACAATTTTATTTTGAATAAACATAGACAAACTATTATTAAATTGCACATCATTATTTAAAGATAATTATTGTGTATAAATGAAAAAAATTTTTAAAACATGGTCTATTGTATTTATACTTAAAGTTTTATTAATGTTCGTGACTCATTCAAATAAATAATAATTCTCTATACTAGTATAATTAATATAACACTTATTTTAATTATTATTCATATTTATAATTGTTATACTTTGTGTAATATTCAATTTTCATAGATATTATAATCTGAAATTGTTATTAACAAACACGTATATTTTTAGATTTACTCACAAATATTATTTAGGTGATGTATAGTATTTTAAATTGAATATAACAAAAGAAAAGTAAAATTACTATAATAACACTATGTAATATATGTTATACAAACTAACAATGTATAATATATGAGGTAACTATACCTATTAAATTTATTTAATCAGCTGTAACTTAAACATTATATTTTGTTAAATATAGACATACGAACTAATGATTAACTATTTCTCAAGTAATTAAATTAATTTTTGTAATAATAAATTGTTATTATTTGCCATAATATTGTACATATTATAATAATATAAATTAATTATGAGACTACTTTAATATTCGTTTAACTTAATGTCATATATCATAGCTGATTATTATATTACTTTCCTTAAATGATTGCTCAAAATTTTTCAAAAAAAAATTACTTGGAATTATATAATAAAAATACATACTTATAATATTTATAAAATTATAATGGTTATTTATTTGACCTAATTTAAATTAAATATATGTAATAACACTATAAATATATGTATATATATATATATATATACAATAATGGTGTCTATAGCGAATTAAAGATAACCATCAACTTAACATTTTAATAAATTTGTAATTACATGAATCATAATAGTTTTATGTTGAACACGAATATCACTTAACTATTTATAAATATTATTATTTATATATCATAAATGCTATATGTGTTAGTTCGTGAATATAAGTGTAATATTTACTAAGGACGAATATTATAACCGCATAATATAATGTGAATGAATATAATTGTGATGGTTATTATTAACATAATTGTAAACAATGAGTATTGTTGACCTCATCTATGAAACAATCTACGATATTTTATGTTGAATGCTATTATGTATATAGAGTTAATTGTGATAATCTTTTTATAATTATTAAAAAGGGGAAAATAAATATAAATTCTATGTCAAGAAAGCGTTTTTAATTGTACACGTTCAATCTACAATATTATGCTGGCTAACTTAAACTATAAAATTATTTCGTTTTTTAACTAAGAGTAGAATTTAATTTTTAATTCAAATTTTTTATTCTATATTAGCATGTCATATTATAATATCATTAAGAGAATTTATTTTTTCTTTTTAATTTCAGGATATTTTTGGCATATATCAGATTTGCATTTAGATACGTTATATTCAACAAAAGGAGATATTCATAAAAGTAAGTTTATTGTTATAATTTTAAATTTGACTTTATTATTTTTGAGACAAATAAATTTTGATTGAATAAGAGAAATTTAAAATAATACGAAAATTTTGTACAATATTTGAATTTAAGTTGACTTGCAATATATGCACATATTCTGTATATGTCACGATCATTTCGGTCTAATCCCAATGTATGCGATTACTAATTGTTATCACTGAACTGTATTAGTCCCCTAGAAGCTCATTTTCGTACTAAAGAATTTTAAGTGTGAAAGTCAAATAAAATTGAATAATGCAAAATTCTTTTTTGATTTTTTTTCTTCAGAAAGGATTTTACTTACTAATCGGTTACGTAAATATATCTTAATAAAAATCATCTGAAATTTATGTATGTATACTTTAGATTTTTCAGCATTTTTCCAAAAAAAAAAATAGAAAAAAAATGCTTGTTAGTTTTACTCTGTTTTTCCGACCCGTGTACCAGACTACGCCCTTGAAAATAAAAAGTTGAAATTTGCATATGCACCGTGTAAGAAAATTTTTACCCCTCTCTAAAAGTTATCGTCACTCAAAGGTCTTAAAATGACATTCTTTGCCTACTCGTCCTAAAGAAAACATAAAAATATTTTCCAAATTTTGTTAACGCAAAAAAGTAGAGTTGGGCTTTTTCTATCGCGGCATAATTTAATTAAATATTGAAAAAGCAAATGGCTGCTAATATTAACCGTTATCTTAACCTGTTTTTTTTTCGAATTTTTGATACAGTTTTTAGTAAGTGTTGCCTTTGATAGGAGGTCTAAAATTTTAGGAGCTTTTAAATATTAGTAAAAAGTTTATTTTGTTAGAAGAAAAGTTTTTTCTACCTCTACTCCTTCTCAAGTTATCGAAATTTGGAAAATTTGACTTTTTGCTATCTTGTCTTCCAAATTTCTATAAATGCAAAAAGCTAACAGTAAATGCCACGATGTTAAAAAATATAATAAACTTAAGTTCTTAAATTTACCTTTAAATTTAAAGATTTTGTTAACGGCTCTGTACATTTTTTTTTCTTTTAAGATTGTAAGCATTGCTCCCCCTAAAAGTATGCAATCTTCGAAAATTTTCGGTATATGAATGAAATTAGTTTTAATAACGTATTAAGCATTGTTTTTAAAAGCAGTATTTTCACTAGATGAAGGGAAAAATACTACTCTACAAAAACATTGGTTTGACCCAACTATATTTATTCAATTTATAATTTTGTCATACAGATCAATATATTGATTATCGTAAGTCCATAAGGCGTTTGAAATAAGATTTTCAAGCAATATTAAAAAAACAAAAACAAGAAGGAGAAATGATAAAACTTTTGAACTTAAATCAATTTCCACTACAATGGATACCAAATTGTTAAACAACTACATAAAACAAAATCCATTCAGTTATATAACATTTAACAGCATATTGAAATTATAGTGGTTATTTTAGACTATTCTTTGTCATAAATTTTATTTAACATATTTATTTATATACACATTCATATAGAAAACCTATAATCATATATCTATCGAATTTTTGTGGCAATATTATTAAATGAATAATAATTAATAGCTTGATCTAACCTTAATTGAAATAAATTCAAGTTTTTCCTTCGAATATTTCAAAATAAAATAACAAAAATAAATAAATTTTACAGATATAGAATTTTAATATAATATTCTAGTTATGCTATGGTAACAGTTCTATTTATTTTAATATTATAGAAAATTTCTTAAAAGTTTAACGTAAACCTAGACTATACGTATATTTTTCATAATATATAATTATATAAAAATATAACATATATAATATGTACGATTGTTGGATATTGTTTACTATCTAATATCCTTTGTATAATATACAAATTGATATTTAGTAAAATATAAACATAAAACAATTCTCGTATATTCTTTCATGTTTTAAATACGCAAGAGATTATAGAAAATACGTACAAGATAGACAAAATATAACATACATATGTACATATTAACTGTGCTACATATTGACAAAGGAAAAGGAGATTGGAAATGGTTCATTAAAAGTATTTATTTTGTAACATTTTTTGATCTCTTTATACGTTTATATCTTATGATGCATACATACAATCATAATGTACAAACTAACATAATAACAAATAATATAAGTAAAATATTATAAAGGAAAGCATCTAACATCTATACTCTTTCTTCTATATGAGATAAGCTTTCTTTTAAATTTCTAATAAAACTATAGAACTGCAATATAGATATAATAGTTAAGTATATATTAATTGAAAATACACAGTAAAGCAAGTTTTGGGTCATTATTATTTGAAATTGAATGAACTTACGTCATACTTACGTTATATTATGTTTTTTGAATTAAATGTATTGTTTTCCACTTATAGCATATTTTATATTATAATGGATAAAAAAAAAAATATTATCCTTATGAACAAAAATAGTATTGCCAGACAAAGTGTTTTAAAATTTAATCACCATGTTTATAATATTATTAAAGATACTTTAGTTCCGAAGGACACACTTTTGTGCAGATAAACATATTTGTAAAAGTAATTTTGTTTAAACACTACTTTGTGCTTCAACATAGAATTTTAATTGTTAGCGTTAGCTAGCGAACAATATTTTCAAAAATTTTATATTCTTAGCGATTTTCCTAGAAAAATTGAAAAAAAAAGTTCAAGTTCAACTCTGTTCTGCTCGTTTAATAGAAACATATTTCTTTCAAAGGAAAGTTTTATTTATACACCCCGAATTTGCCCAAAATTTTATTTATAAGCCCCAAAAAAAAGTGCCATTTTTTGTTTATTTTATTGTAACGAAACCGCAAACACGTTGAAAACTTTTCATATGCGATTGCCTTTTTCTATTTTAATCTTGTGTAGCCATATTTGATTTAATTATTCTGCCAGACGCGGTGTTGTAGGAATCTGAGCTGCTTTTAGACATTAATAAAAATAATTTGTTTTCGCTAGAAGAAAATTATTTTCCTTCTCCATCTTCCCTCAAGGTTATGTGTAACTAAACTCACAAAATTTGATTTTTCAGCGCCTTATATAACCGAAACTATAAGAAAATTTAATGGAAAATCCCGTGCTAACGATAAATATAATTATTTGTGAAAACTAATTTACTAAGCCATTGAATCCGGCCGTTACGTTAACGGTTCTATCAATTTTTTTGTTCTGTATGCCGTAAATGTATGCAATAATTTTATCTATCTAATATTTTGGTATATGAATAAAGCTAATTTAAAACGAAGTAGTTGTTTTTAACGGATTCGTGGACGTGGATGTTCAAAAAATATAATCTTTGAATTTAGAATTCTTCTTATTGATATATTTTTAGAACACCTTAATTTTATAATGCACATTTCAGTTTGTGTGTTTGTAGGGTGTATTATAAATTTATAATAAAATAAAGAATTTCCAAAGTAGTAACATAAAATAATAAGCAAATATCTATTTTATCTACGAAACATTTTATTGTATAACGAAACCATAATATTATCTCGTGTATATAGTGTACAACCTTTCATGTTTACACATTTTATTCTGTTATTTTCTATCTTTTTTTACAAATTGCATGTCAGTGTCAATACTGGAAATAAATGTATAATAATACTGGTAATAAATATATTGTTATATGTATACGTGTGTATTACAAATGAAAATAAAAATATTAAAGTTCATTAATAACACTTTATATATAATATCATAGCCCATAATATGAGTAAGTATCCATTGCTCTAGAGACTATTTTTTGCGTTTAAGAGCTACTTTAATGAGATCAAAATAATGTTATTATATACACCGCAACTTAAATTGAATATAATTGCAAATTTTTCTGAATCTTACTTGTTTCGTTTTCGAAAAACAGAAAGTTTAAGAGTTTATACATTATTTTTAATAAATTATAATGTCATATTTAAAGTTTTGTTTTAAATTTAAATCTTTAACCTGTACGAAAAAAAAAAATTAATTTCACTTGAAGTACAAAAATATTCTTTCGCTTTACTTATAACCTTAAAGGCACGAGCGAAATACTACATGCATGGCGGAAATCGATGGGGAAAACATCAGGCCCAGATGGAATAACATATAAAATCCTCATAAAGGCGGGACCAGCCTTCCTGAGCAGGATCTCCTTCTTGAACAGAGATCTAGTGGAATACATAATAAATTCGGGCGTTATCCCCCATTGCGTAAACCGGGGAAAGATCCACTACTACACCAAAATTATCGCTTTATATCGCTCCTAAACACTATGGGGAAGGCAATCGAGCGCTTAGTAGCGAATAAGCTGGAAGATATAATAGAAAGACACCTGAAACCTAAAATACATGGCTTCAGGATAGGCAGAGGAACCACCACCATTCTCCATAAATTGGAATATATAGCTCAGCATGCACTTCAAAAAAAGGGAAATGTGGACATAATATCGTGTGATCTGTCAAAAGCAGTTGACAAGATTCCACCGGCATCTGTAATTGAAAGCTTAGAGAAGTGGGGTACGGTGAAAAGACTGCTATACATAAGCATTCTGCTACAAAACAGAGCAGCATACATTGAAATCCAAAGCACCAGGTCAAGGATTATCAAGGTCAAGAAGGGCATACCCCAAGGTTCACTACTGTCCACCTACCACTTTAACGCCTACATCAACTCCCTTCCAGTACAATTGAACAAAATAAGAGGCATCACTGCTCAAGTGTACGGAGATACACCTGGGGGTAGGCCTAGCAATCACCTCTAAAACTACACTCTAAAAAACAACTTACCTTCAACGACATCAATATTTGAAGCTGAGCGTGAAGCGATACTTCGAGCTCTGAAATGGGCAAATGAGATAAAACAGAAAACCCTAATATGGACTAAGTTATCGGTCCTTGAAGCTATCAAAAACACAAATAACCATTCGAATACAGCTCGCAAAATTAGAACATTGTTGTATGAAGGCAGACTCCCTTACACACCCTACACGATAACTCAAAATC